CAATGTTTTCAGAGTGTCAGCTTTGACTCCGAGATCTTTGATCCATTTGGACACAACTGACTTTAAATCAAACTCAAAATGGCTTAGGTACCTGCTATTATCACATCCCACTCCTGGCACAGGCAGGAACTTCCTGAATAGAAATCCAGACACAGCTAAAAAGGAGCCTCCAGAGTGGGGAAAATCTTTGCCAGCAATATGTCTGAGAAGAATCTAATGACCAGAATACATGAGAAGCTTGGGAAACAAAACCCACTGGGTGCTGGTGGCTTATGCTTATAATTCCAGCTACTTGGGAGGCTGAGATTGGAGATTCATTGTTCAAAGCCATCCTGGAAAGAAAAAAATCTGCAAAACTGTTTTCTCTACGAAACTACTAAAATGGCAGAAGTAGAAGTGTTTGTTTTTCTAGTGGTAGAGAGCTAGCCTTAAACAAAAATGTTCAAGGACACTCTTAGGCCCTGAGTTCCAGCAGTAGGATAAGCACCAAAAAACAAAAACAAAAACAAAACACCTAAAACCCCAACTGCCCAAAACAACAAAAACAAAAGAAAAGAACACACAAACATGCATTCAGTAATGTAGTGTCCCCTGTTGTTTATTTAATATTACAACTCATAGTGTAGGAGTTTTCACAAGTTTGTGTATGGCTGGATAGTTCCAACATGCTCATGATATATTTGTATATGGTAATAAAGCAATGTGTATATTAAATAACTCATATGGCTTACATTTATAAACATATATATATGTGTGCTTGCATAACAGTAACATGTCGAAGTAATCCTAAGTATTCAGGAGGCTGAGATGTGAGGATCATAGTTCAAAGCCAGCCCAAGCAAGAAAATCTGAGAAACTCTTATCTCCAATTAATCACCAGAAAACTGGATTTATCACTGTGGCTCAAAGTGGTAGAGCACTGACCTTGGTTGAAAATGCTCATGAACAGTGCCCAGACCCTGAGTTCTAGAGCAACAACTAACAAAAACAAGGGAAAAAAAACAATGAAATTGTTTAAGGTAGTGGGAGAAAGAAGGGCACGGAGAGTGAAAGAGGATTTGAAATTGATTGGAATACATTATGAACATGTATGGATGCAACAATGTAATGCCCATCCATATGATGAATGTCAGCTAATCATAAAAATCAACGTTTTAAGATATCAGCTTTTAGCTGACATTATAAGGGTTACCTGTGGCTCATGCCTGCCATTATTTTAAATGTGCCCTATGTTTAACTCTTTGAAAAATTTTCTGGAAGAAGGAAATGCAGACTGGTAATGGTGAATGTAATAATGGAAATAGTTTATTTTACTTTTTGCAAGTAATATTGTTCATAACTTAGTCTAGTCCTCCTTCCTCTACTCTACTTTTCTTGTTATTTTTGTTCTTATTATTTCATTCTTTTCCTTGGTAAATAAAAGGGTTTGGTTTACTTTTCCTTTTAGGAGCTCTGTTTCCTTTCTAATCACACCCTTCTTACTGGTTCTCTTACTACTGATACATTAAAGAAAATTATTGTGCTGATCTATCTTTCTGCCATTCATTCATTACCCTGTATATGTGACTCATATCATACTCATCATCTATCCCTAATTTATGATGCCAATTGTTAGTTATCTTCAGTCTGTACTTCAATGTTTGCTACAGACAAGGAATGAGTCATATATAATAAGATGTCCATATATACTTACTTTCTTTCATCTAAATAGAAGAAAGGAGAAAATGAGGGAGGGGGTGACACTATTCAAAAAGAAAAGTATTCATTGTCCATAACCCCTCAGTATATCAACTTTACAATGGAAAGTAAGTAAATGAATAATTGGAAGAAAGGTACCTTGGTTGGCTACAGTAGTATTTATTATATTGAAGTCTTGTTTCCTCTGAAATCCAAACATTATTCCACTGTCCTTCATCTACCAATGTTAAAGGGAAAAAATAGTAAACCTAAGTGAAGTAAGCCAGGCCCAAAGAAACATAGGTCCCATGGTTTCCCTTATCTGCAATAAGTAGTATATGTCTGAGACAAGCAGAAAAGGTGAGATAAGTTGATGCTAGGCAAAATGAACCCCAAGATAAGGACTCAGGTGGTTTTTCTTTTTTGCTATTGTTTCTAACATTTTTGTTTGTTTGTTTGTTTGTTTTTTGCTAATCATGGTGCCTGAACTCTGGGCCTGGGCACTGTCCCTCAGCTCTTCAGCTCAAGGCTAGTACTCTACCACTTGAGCCACAGCACCACTTCCAGCTTTTTCTGTTTATGTGGTGCTGAGGAATCGAACCCAGGGCCTCATGCATGCAAGGCAAGCACTTCTACCACTGAGCTACCTTCCCAGCCCCTGTTCCTAACATTTTTATAAGATGATTTTTTGTTGCTTTGTATGTCCCTCCCCCACGGTATAACCCCTGTTTTCACTGTATTTGATGTTGAAAAACAAAGCAGGAGGCAACAGTGCTTGATAAGAAATGTACTCATTACCTTGCTCATGTAATTGTAACCCCTCTGTATGGTATTTTCACAATAAAAAATGTATTAATAAAAATTTAAAAACCCGAATGTGTAGGCATTGAGTAACTAAATTTTATGGAATTCTGTAATGTTTTTCTTAAGATAACAAAAATTATGCTACTATAGTCCAATCTTTCTCACCAACTTAGACTTCTCAATATACCCAATCAGCTATCTCTTTAGTTCAAGGATATTTTAGTTTATTATTTCACTTTCCCTTTTCCATGTGTGGTATTATGTTTTACTGATATATAACAACTTGTAAAATAATTGTCCTGTACATATTCTTTAAGTCTCATGCAACATTTTACTATCTCTATGATCTCTGTTTTGCCCTTCTAATTGTCTCAAGGGTCAATGAATTTTTTTCTCCTTCAGCTCTCCTATGAATTATTAAACTCAGAAATCATGTTTTTATTTTTTGATTTCAGTTTTACACATTCATTACTTAATTTTTTTGGACAGTCGTGGGGCTTGAACTCATGGCCTTAGCACTGTCCCTGAGACACTTTTGCTTACTCTGCCACTTGAACCACAATGCCATTTCCAGCTTTTTCTGTTTATGTGATATTGAGGAATCAAACCCAGGGCTTCATGCATGCTAGGCAAGCAAACTACCACTAAGCCACATTCCCAACCCTTATGTAAATTTTGTTTGTGTGATGGTCTTGGGGCATGAACTCAAGGCCTGGAATTTGTCCCTAGGCTTTTTTGCCTAAGGTAGCAACTCTACTACTTGAGCCACAGCTCCACTTTGTTTAGTAGTTAAATGCAGATAAGAGTCTCATGGACTTTCCTGCTAAGGCTAGCTTTGAGTCCTCAGATCTTAGCCTCCTGAACAGCTAGGTTTGTATGTTAGCGGCATGAACCACTAGCACCGATCAATACTTTTGTTTATTTATTTTTATGATGTCATCTGCTAGCAGCTCTGGCTAAGTGTTCAATTTATCTGCCCTCTTTCTCTCTCATTGCTAGTCCAAAGGTGGAATTTTAAATGGTATATTGCTCTATTTTATATCATGGGAACCTACAGGACTGATGGGTCATGGTCCTGAGGGTGGCAGAAAATAGGCAACCTGTACCCACCCAGACAGGAAATACAGATATTAACTCAACAAATCTTCTTGCATTCCAATCTTCCTGTGCTTTATTGAAAGAACAAACTTTGTCTGCCTCTCTGGCCTTTCTATGCTTACAGGGAGAATAGACACAAACATTTGGAGTTAATATAAATCATTCCCACACCCATGGAGAGAGATCTTCCTAGGCTCTATTGCATTCTGATTCTCCCAGAAGTTTACGTTGCTGGAGTAGAGCGATATGTTATCGTTATAAAAACAAAAATCTCTGGGAGATCCCAAATGTTTACAAACAAGACCACACTAAAGCTACCAGCACGACTATGTTTATTGCAGCACTATTTACTATAGCTAAGATATGGAACCAACCCAGATGCCCCTCGGTAGATGAACGGATCAAGAAAATATGGTATATATACACAATGGAATTCTATGCCTCCATCAGAAAGAATAACATTGCCCCATTTGTTAGGAAATGGAAAGACTTGGAAAAAATTATATTAAGTGAAGAAAGCCAGGCTCAAAAAAACATAGGTCCCATGGTTTCCCTGATTAGCAATATCTAGTATATGTCTGAGTCAAGCAGAAAAGGTCAGATAAGGTGATGTTGGGGAAATGAACCCTAAGATATGTATTCAAATGTTTTCTT